CCATGGAGGCCAAGGACAGCTGCACTGCGGCCATTGAACAGGCCATGGAACACATAGGGGACAGGCCCCTCTCACTGGCAACCCTCAGCCTCCACCGGCCCCTGGGGGGCTCCACTTCTGCTCTCGGATGAACTTTACTGTATTTATCAACTCCATTCTTACACAGGAAAGAAAAAGGAAGATGCCCAACATAAACCAGCAAAGAGAAACATGGTCTGGTGTGCTTCTGGCTGGGTCATCCATCGCCCAGACTCGGGCTGGGAATGTTCTGGGGCTGGCCTAGCCTCTCCCTGCACCTCCAACCCCCTGAACTCACCACACAGCCCTGCAGCATGACTCTGCAGGACACCCTGTGTGCAGGGCTGAGATGCTACCTGTGGGACCTGAGTCCATCTTGGAGGCCAGCAGTGAGGGCTCAGGATAGGCCTAGCACTGGGGGCTGGCATGCTATCATCAGGGAGGGTCCGGCCACTGTCGTGGGAGGGGGGAGGTCACTCATGGGAGAGAGGTGGTGACTGCCATGGGGGAGGGGTGGTCATTGTGGGGGAGGGGGTGGTGACTCTCATGGGAGAAGGGGGTGGTCATCGGGGAGGGGGTGGTCACTGTCGTAGGGGAGGAGTGGTGACGCATGGAGGAGGGGTGGTGACTGTCGTGGGGGAAGGGTGGTCACTGTCATGGGGAAGGGATGTGGTCACTGTCATGGGGTAGGGGGTGGTCACGGGGGAGGGAGGTGGTCATTGTCATGGGGGAGGGAGGTGGTCATTGTCGTGGGGGAGGGGGTGGTCACTGTCGTGGGGGAGGGGTGGTGACTCATGGGGGAGGGATGGTCACTGTCATGGGGGAGGGATGTGGTCACTGTCATAGGGGAGGGAGGTGGTCACTGTCACGGGGGAGGGACATGGTCACTGTCATGGAGGAGGGAGGTGGTCACTATGGGGGAAGGGCAGTCACTGTCGTTGCAGGCACTGACCAGTTTGACACGTTGGTTCCACAAGTACCGACAAGTTGCTGTGGAGCCCACTACTCCAGGCTCTGGGTACGGGGCTGACCCCAGGCAGGCAAGGGCCGCTCACCGTCTGTCGGGGCAGGGACCAGCCAGAGACTCCCCGTGGGAGGCGGACAGGGAGCTAGGGCAGTCGAGGGCAGTGCGGAGGGTCTCCCTGAGGAGGGCACGCCATGGAAGTGGCAATGCTCAGATCGGGGCAGGGTGCTCAGGGGCACATGGAAGCCAGCAGGGGTCCTCAGGGTGGGTCCCGGCGGTCCCGACAGGCTCCCCAGGACGGGGCAGGACACCCTAACTCAGAATCCGATGGCACCAGGCCTGGGGGGGCCACAGTGCCAAGGTCTCTGCCCAGAACTGAGGCTGGCCCACTCTCCACTGTCTCCTGCCCAGTCACTGTTGGGCCTCTCAAGCCAGCCACACAGCACCCCGTGCGTCCTCTGACGGGCTGTCACCTCCACAGGGCCTGCAGATGCCCCACAGGGCCTGCTACACTCTGCCTACGCCATCCCAGCTGGCTACACTCTGCCTACGGCCACACGGGCTGTCCCAGCTGGCAAGTCCCTGAGGACAGAGAGCGTCCTTCCACCTGCCCACTTCACAGACGAAACGACCAAGGCCAATAGGAGTTCAAGGTCACCCAGCCAGTGAGTGGACACGGGCCTAAAGCCCGGACAGCATATCCCCAGCCTGGCCCTTTGCTTTGTCCCAAGGACGATGCTGGGAGGAGGACAAAGGAAACGGATGCTGGGCGGGGCCATCTGTCCCAGTGGACAGGAGCCCCCAACACGACCCCGATCCGCACCCTGCCTGACAGGAGCCGCGGACACTCACGGAAACCAGGAGCCAGGCGGAGGGTGGGCACCAGGAATGGCGCAACACGGGCCCACCGCTGTGACACTGCTTCCCCTCCCTGGGCCTCAGCTGCCCCACATGTTCACAACCCCACTAGCCACCTAGTCATTGAGGGCTGGCCGCGAAGGGGGCTCTCTCTCAGACCCCAAGTCTGCCCTAGGGGACTTCTGAACCTATAATATCTTGCAAATCCCAAAGCCCCCAGTGAATGTGGCAGGAGAGTTGAGGGGACGAGGGTGCCAGCTTCCGCAGGAAAGGGCTGCAGCCAGCCGAGGTGCGTAACACGGTTCCACAAAACGCTGCCGCCCACCCCCCGAGCCCTGTGCAGGCTGCAAAGATGGCCCCAAAGCAATCGGGCCTGCAGGGCCTGGCACGTGGGACCTCCGCTGCGTCACAGCCTCTCACGCATCACGCTGGAGCTCCTGTCACCGGGACCTGCTGCAGACCTGGGGGAGGGCTTCCTAAAGGCTAATGACAATTTGCGTTTTGTTTTTCCCGTTTTCAGAGACCAAAGGGGGGGAGCGATGCAGTGAGATGTGCGGATCCTTCCGAGAACAACTCCCACCCCGTCACCCTCTGTCCTGCGCCTGCGGTTTGCTGGCACAAGGATCCACATCCGCTGTGTCACCCCCATGCTGCAGACAAAAAAACTGAGGCTGGGAGGGCCAGGCTGGCCATGGGGCCTTCCCACTCCGCACCGCTCCTAGTCCCCCCTGCTACCCGCCCTCCACACAGTGCTGAGCTGTGAGGGGGCCCCGAGGGCCACAGGCAAAGCCCGGGCCACCTGGGTCCTCTGGTCTAGACACAAGCCCAGGCTCTTGAGTGAATTCAGTTCAGCCCAGAGCACCAGCTTTTCTCCCGCCCTGACCCAGGCCTCTCCATCTCTGAGCTGGACGACTGCAGTGGCCTCCACGTGGGGCGCCCTTGCCCCAGGAAAGGCCGCTGCTCGGCCCACACTCACCACACAGAGCGCCAGAGGGAACCTGGGGCCAGGACTGCTGGATGGACAGGCCCTCACACAGAGGATCGCAGGAGGGGCAGCCAGCCCCAGCCTCCACTCCTCTGAACCCCATCCTGGGGTGGCTGCACCGGCACGAGCCCTCACCAGGCCCTGGGAGCAGGACTCCCAGGCCAGGACAGGGAGAAGCCAGCCCCTTGGGTAAAGGCGCCACACGGGAACCCCGAGACCCGTTCCATAGATGCTGCGGAGCGAGCGCCAGGAGGCTGGAGGTGGGCCAGTTCCACTGTGCAGGAGCCACGCCTCTCTCGGGATGCTGCCCTCTAACGGCCTCCTCGCGCCCGCAGCCCTGTGTGGGGGTCTGGGCTCTCTGGCAGAATGAGCTTCTGTGAACGGCCTCTACTCCTTGGACTTAATCAACAAGCAGCGCCTCCTCTCTCCTCACGCCACTCTATGCCCCACAGGGAGGGCTGAGACTGGACCTTCCCAGGAGGATCTGATTCCAGTGCAAAGGGGAAGCAGGTCCATCTGCCTCTCCAGATGTGAAGCCTCCGGGGTAGTGCTTCTGGAGAGCTCCTGAGCGCCCGTTTCTCTGCTTCTCTGGGAACAGTGGGCCTCGCTGCACCCGCAGAGAGGGATGGAAACCGTCTCTGTGCTTCCGGCGGTTCTCTGGAGCATCTCAGCAGCAGCAAAGGGCTCGTTCAGCCCCAGAGAGAAGCCCCCAAAGCAGCCACAGGCCCAGAGCTGGCGCCTCCTCTCTGGGGAGCCTGAGGACAGGAAAGGGTGAAGGGGAGGACACTCACAGAGGTGGCGGGGGCCCCGAACACAGGTCTTGAGAAATGGGCGCTCCTCCATCAGGCCAAAGTAGGGGGTTGCCACAGCAGAGGCAGGGAGGTGGGGGGGGCCACAGAAGGGGCAAAGGGAGAAGGGGACTGAGCCCCAGCACTGTGGGGTATTCCCTTCCCTTGAGAGTGGATGGCCTACTTCCTGGGACAGCAGAACTAGCCACAGGTCCTAACCCAGTGACTTAGCTGACTTACTGCCAGGCCTCCGCTTTTCTAGAAGAGTCAGCTCTTAGGCAGACATTTGCTCCAGAAACCCAGCCCCTGGGAGCTTCAGAGTGGGCAGGCCCTAGCACCTTCTGCAGATGAGGAGGCCAGAAGAAGGGAAGGATGTTCAAGGTCACACACAGAGGCTCGGATCCCAACAGAGTGTGTCCCCACCAAGCTGCCTGACTGATGTGTTCTATGTACACTCAGGCATCAAGGGAGAAGAGGCTCACTCACACATGCACGCGCTCACACACACACATGCATGCATGCACACACACACACGCATGCACAATACATGCACGCGCACACACACGCATGCATGCACGCACACGCATGCACAATACATGCAGGCACACACACATTCACACATGCATGCACACACACATACATGCATGCACACACACATGCACTCACGTGCATCACACACACACATGCATGCACTCACGCACACACTCACATGCATGAACACACGTGCACACACACACGTGCACACATGCAGACCCAGACTCAGGTGCCTCTTGGGATATTCTGTTTTAGCAACTGTCTCAAGGAGATTAACCATGGACTAGAGATACATTTGGCAGCAGGTATTATACATGTGTAAACTTTAAAGAAATGAAGAATAAGCAGCATCCAATGTCCACACCCTACAGTTGCACCCCGACAGCACACCCCACCACCTGCTGGTAGTACCACCAAATTGCAGGTTCAGTTCTGAGCAATCTATTCAACCTTTCAAAAAAAAGTTACTGGGAACTGCATTAAGCACCAAATCATTTTCATTAGAGCTAAACAGTCTCCTGGAAGTCTAACCACACAGCAAAGGAAATGACCATGGTGATTGAGAGGCTACCCCAGCATATACCCCGGCTCCTGGCCAGAGGGCTGTGCCCTATTAGGGAAACCCAGGAAGGAGGGAATGGGGATGGGGTTCCCAGACTCCCATCTCTCCCTTATTGGACCAGATGGCCAGAGAGAGGTGGTTAGAATGGGCAAGGCCATGGAGGCCTAGTTCCAGGGCCACCAGGCCGAGGGTAAGCAATGGTGCAGCAGGGCTGGCACCTGGGCTCCCCTGGTCCCTGGCCTCCACATGTGGAGCGTGGAGAGTGAGCACGCTTGCCCAAGCCAGCCTCACCTCCATCTGCAGGGTGGCCTCCTCTCGCAGTCGGATGGCCTCCAGGTCCTCCTCAGTGATGTCCGGGAGCAGCGCTTGCTCCTGGCCCTGCCACATGTTGTCACTCCCATTAAAGATCTTCTCATCATCAGCCAGCTCGGCAAACGGGGCCTGGGGACTCTGCTGATGACAGACAGACCTTGTTAGCACTGACCCCTCCCATTACTACCACGCCCCAGGCCCAGATCTTGTCAGTACTGACCTCCCCACCCCATTACCAGCACGCCCCAGGCCCAGACCTTGTTAGCACTGACACCCCCCATTATCACCACGCCCCAAGGCCAAGTCTCCCCATGGCTCCGAGCAGGCCACTCAGCTCTGTCTCAAGAGGAGATGAATCACAGATGCTAGGCCCTGGCCTCCCACGCCTCTGGGAGTTGCGGGCCCCCAGAGCTCTGGGCAGCACCGTGCACACTGTGGGGGCAGGAGAGGAGCTGGGGCTACTATGAGCAGTGGGCCAGGGTCACAGGTGAGTGGACACTGGTTCCCACCTTTTGGCACATGCCCCCCACTCTGATCATCCCAGGCCTGTCTGCAAGGAGAGCTCGTGAGCCCTATGACCCCCATGCCAAGCCAGGGCTACCCTGTCCTTGGCCAGATAGAGGACACGAGAGCAAAACGTGGCCCTGACCCCAGAGAGAACACAGTCTACCTCGTGTTCCCAGCTTTTGGGGGTCACAGACCCCTTTGTAGACCCCCAGAAAAGTGCCCCTATGCACATAAACACAAATTCTACCTCTTCATTTTGGGGGCTGTGAGCCCAACGCAGGCCCCATCAAGGAGCCAGTTCCCGAGCCAGGGACAGAGGCTGCAGCGTGGGGCTCAGAGATGAGGTGGGACTGCAGGCAGGGCACAGATGCACCCGGAGGAACCCACAGGAACCTGCCCTGCCGTGACAGCCTTGGGGAGCAAGCCTGAGAGGTTTTTGGAATTTGTTTTCATTCCTTGTTCATTTATTTGCCTCATTTTGAAATTCAACAAAACGGTGCTCTCTGAGGGCACGATCTAGGTCTGAGGTGGGGGCCTTCTACGGCCATGAGCCTGTCACTGGGCATCAATCTGGGCCTCCCTGGCACCGGTCACCTGGGAAAGACTGCAGACGTCAGTCCCTGGTGTCATCAGTCCCCTGCGCCAGGTCCCAAGTGGAGGTGTAGGGGCCTGGGAGCACCTGGCAGAGGGGAGGGTTGGCGGGAGGCAGGAAGGGTCCATGCTGTAGCCGCCACCTCCCGGTGCACACGATCATACTGAACTGAAAACGCGACAATAGTGGCAATCCCACCCCGCAGCCCTTCCTTCCCCTCCCGTCAGGAGGCCGCAGTGCCCCCCACCTGCCCTGCCCATGCCAGCGGGGCTGCCTTCACCTTAGGAAGGTGTGTGTGTGACTGTGAGTGCCTGTGTGATTGTGGGATGTGTGACCATGTGACATTGTGTGTGTGAGAGGGAAAAACGGAGATGGGAAAAGGCACCAAGAATGAGCAGAGCAGAAAACCGAGGCGGCAGCCTGGTCAGGCCCAGCCTCACCACGAACACCTGCTCCATTCAGCCACGCCCCCGATCTTCCTGGAAACCCTGCAGGGCGGAGGCGGGGCCTTCACAACAGCCGAGTACACCGAGGCAGAGCGAGGCGGGGAGCTGGCGCCGTGCTCAAACAGGACAAGCCCGTGGGGCTCTGCAGCAGCGGCTGCTCTCAGACACACATCAAGGTTTGGAGCGCAAGGACAAGGCAACAGCGGTGGGGACGGCCGACAACGAACAGGGCCACACTACCTTTACTTGCTCCTCATGCTCCTCAGGCATCATAATGACCCTCCCATTTACCATCCGGGAGACTCAGGGAGTTCACAGCCACCTAAGCCACTCTGCAGCGAAGGGGCAATTCAGCAAACCTGGCCAGGCTGCTGCCTCCTGAAGCCCTCAGGAGCAGACCCATGGCAGCCTTGGTCTCGCCCCCAGATCCAGCTCCCCTCAGCTTCACACATGCTGTGCCCACACTCACTCCCCGGCACAAATTCCGGGACCACCCTCCCTGCCCAGGCAGGCGCTCTCCCAGCTGACTTGCCCGGCCGCTGGTCTTCGCCCAGTGGGCGTCACCACGTGTTTGGAGAGGAGGATCTGACAGAGGCGGGGACTCTGCCTGTCCTGATGCCTCTGGGCCTTCTGTGGCGGTGAGGCAGGGGGCATAGTGGCTGGGCCTGGATCGGAGCCCCTGCAGGGACAGGACTCTCAGGATGGGGCCACCCAGCTCACACCAGAGCCTGGGACTCAGTCACAGGCCCCCTCCCTTGCCTGTCCCTACCCATGTCTCCCCAGCCCTCTGTGGGGGACACAATCAAGGTCCCCTCCCAGGTCTGAGAAAGGCCCCCGCTAAGTATGGGGTCCCAGCCAGACTGCACCTCTGCTCATCAGGGCCCTCAGGCAGTGTGGACAGCTTTGCCAGTTCCTAGCCTCTGAGGGCACAGGGCCCTGCCTAGGTGTCATCCTAGGCATGAGATCTGGGTACAATGTGTGGAACTGACTGGGAATGGGAATCCAGGCTAGACCTGTGGGGTGCAGGCAGCCTCTCTGCTTCATCTCTCCCCACTGGACCCTGCTGGCCTCCACCGTGCCTAGGGACAGCACTGCCCACCAAGAGCAGCTGGCCATGCAGGCCAGTAGGCAAGGCATGGTGAAGGATCCTCTGGCAGCGCTAGGCATGGAGGGCAGCAGGGGTACAGCTGCCACCCCAACCCATCCCACTCACGTCCAGAGCTCTTGCCGTGCCCCTCCCGCGTGTGTGGGCATCTGGGGACATGGGCTGCAGGGCAGTCTGGCTCACGGGACCAGCTCTGTCAGCTCCCCGTGCTCAGGGACTATAACCTCAGTCGCCCTGCAAGGAAGCCGCAGAGGCTGAGACTTGCTCATCTTCTGCCCTTTCCCAAACTGAAAGCCACCTCACCACGCCGTGCAGCTCAGGGTGGGCACGTGCAGAGACCCCCAGCCAGAGGAAGTGCCGTGAGCACTCCTGGGGAGGTTTCTCGCGGAGGAGAGGGGGTGCTCACCTCCTCTGGAGCAGTCACTGGCCCTGCCTGGCTTCCCAGCAGGTGCTGCTCCCAAAAACCGCCCAGGCTGGGTCACATTTATGTCCAGGGCCCAGTGAAGCGTCCCCACCTCCTGAGGCCCGAGAACCGTCGGGACTGGGGCTGGAGCAGATGCACAGGTGACAACCAAGTACAGAGAGATGGACCCCGCCTGGGCACCGAACCAGTGGATCCACAAACAAGCACTTCATTGCGTTTCTGGCAGAAGCCACCCCAGGTGGGCACGAGGCTAGGAGGGCTATGCTGGTGCGACTGCATCCAGGACGGGACGGCGGGCTCCTCACTAGTCCCCACAGTTCTGCCTGACACGACTGACGACAATAGGAACAACAGCCACAGCACCGGCCACCTCTGGAGGGATGCAGCATGAGGTTAGGTGCTACTTCCTTTCTCCCATTTCCTCAGGCCCCTCCAGGGTGGGCATGGCCACCCTCGTCTAAAGGGGCAGCTTGTCCACATCCTGCAGGTGGGACGATGAGGCTGCCCTAGGCAGGTTCTCCTTCGCAAGCCAGCTTCATCCCACACACCACCCTGACACGGGTAAAAGCTAGCACAGGCCTTTAAATAAATAAATACGTGGATAGATGAATATAAAATAAAAGATCTAAAAAATCTGTTGACAAGCGCAACTCGTCCAAGGTGGTAATTATCACCTCCCCTTCCTGGAGTGGGCGGGAGGAAGTGAGCAGTGCCTGGCGGTGGGAGCCCAGGGAGGCGCTGGCCTCGCGCCAAGCCCAGCAACCCCAACGCCTCCTTCCTAAGGCTCCAGCCCCTAGGCTTCCGGGGTGCTTGCATAAAGAGCCTGGGCTTAGGTTCCAGCCTCAGCACTGGTGCCGGCTGTGAGGCCCCAGGCGTGCCACGCACTTCTCTGGGCCTCACTGTCCTCATCTGTAGAATGGCAACAGTGGCACTCACAGCCCCGTGGTCTATGCCCCTCAAGCTCCACCCACACGGTCTGATCCCTCACGTCTGCAGAGCACAGCAGGCACGCACCTCACTCCACCAGGAGCCCCTGAGCACGAGGCTCTCCTGAGATGCGAGGGCTCAGGAACACTACCCCTCACTTCCTGGTGGCCTGGGGAGGGTCCTCAGCTTCCCTGAGCCTCCAGCTTCACTTCCAGGGAATGGAGCTGACCTCACCACGTGCTAGTGTCGCCCAGAGAGCTCGAGGTGAAGCACGTGAGGCCGCAGCGTACAGCAGAGATGCCGCAAGATGCCGTACTCTGACTCAGGTGGGAAACCAGGTTGAGCTGTGCTTTTCCCAAGTGCTATAAGCTACAGGGCAGAGATGCTCCCCCAAGGGGAACACGGCCATACACGCCCCCGGAGAGCGGCATGAGGGTTGAGCACAGCCTCCTGCTTGCCAACAGTGACAGGCTCTACAACAGCCCCACTGACTAGGATCCCATGGCCTGGGTAAAGTCAAAGGCCCCAGGTAAACATAGTAAACTGTTGGGGTAAGAGGTCCCTGGGGCAGCCCAGCTGCTGTGTCCGGGGATGGAGATGCAGGGACATGCCCTCGGCCCTGACAGCAAACAGCCACAGGCGAGGGGGCCGGAGGAAATGTGGTCCCTCCTACAATGAAATCCTCTAGGCCAGCTAATGCGGGCCAGTGAGACGCCTGGGTGGAGAAGGCACCACGGGACGTTCTGTGCGACGTTCCCTGGACTTGGGGGTTTCAATGACAGCTCCCCAGGAGCTGCGGGCAGAGGGTGCTGGGCACCCATGGAGACCTGCCTCGGATCTGTGCCTTGGGATTGCTGCCACCTCCCGCATGTGGAGAAGGAGGAAGCTCGGAAGGATGGGGAGGGTGCAGGGGTGGGAGGGGGGTGCAAACGGGGCTCCATGTGGACGCCCAGGAAGGCAGCCAGGCTGGGATGCGAGCCCCGTGGACGCCCACGAAGGCGGCAGGGCTACGGTGTGAGCCGTGTGGATGCCCAGGAAGATGGCCCGGCTGGGGTGCAAGCCGTGTAGATGCCCAGGAATGTGGTAGGGCTGGGGTGCGAGCCATGTGGACGCCTAGGAAGGCGGCAGGGCTGGGGT